ACAAATGGAAGTGTTTGCTAGGAAAGTCTCATAGAAGACATAAGGCTCTCACAGATTGCCACTCACCACTGGGTTCAAATCAAAGAAAAGCTTTTATACCTTATTAGAAGACATGGAGGGTTGTAGTCATATATTATCGTGTGCCAATTTGCCACCAGGAGATCTCTAAGGACTATCTGTGAGAAATGCTGTGATTTGCAACTCTATTTCACAGTGTTTAAAATGTTTGGATTTATTTTAAGAATATATATGGGTTTGATGGTGTTGATATATGTGGGTTTGTTGGTGTTTCCCCCACCAAATGAGAATGCTGACAGTCTTGGAGCTGCTCTGGCATTAATGCTGTGCAAGGATATCTTTGTGACCATAACTGTGTGTAATGCCTGCTTTGGGAATAAACTCTTGGCACGTAACTTTGGTGTCATTCTGAAAACAGCACAGTTGTCAAGGACCTTGGGACATGAAAGGAAGACACTGTGCTGTCTTTTCATTGGAAAGTTCACAGATTCTGCCTGGAGATCCTTCTGATATTTTCACTTTTCAATACATAGTGCTTACCAAAAATAAAACTGAGAATTTTAAGTGCTTTCCAAATTTAATGACACAGAGTTTTACATGGAAAAAAATCTTTTGTAATAAATTCAGCATTTTCTATTTTATATTAACTATAAATTTCCCCATCTAAAGAGTAAGCAATTACACAAGGATGTCCATGGGTGAGACCTACCTTTCATTACTGTGCCAGCATATTAAATAAAGCCCCGTCCACTTCTGGCTATTGAGCTCAGGTTAGGATTTTGTTTCTGAAACTTGATCATATTGGCAGACAACCTTAACCTCATTGTAGGGTGAGTTAATGTTGAGAGGAAGGAAGAGTGAATTAATGCAGCAGTGGCATTGAGGCAACAACAACAATAAAAATAGCAAAGTTTGCTTTTTCTCTGCTTTGAAAACAATAATGTCAATTCAGATGAGACAATACATCAAACCCTCCAGTTTCACTCTGTGCAGTGAGGAACAAAGAGAATTTGAGAGGTTTGAGTTAGGCCTGCAAAACAACAATGAGCAGTGGGATGGATCTGCCCCAGCACCCATTGAGGGATGTACAGGCAGCCCCTCAGAGCGGGGGCTCAGGGGCTCTGTGTGGTGCTGTGCATCCCAAATCCCAGCCTGGGGAAGAGGACAGGGGCTGGCACAGCCATATGGTCACCGGGTGACCTATTGGCATTAATAAAAACAAGCATTGTAAGTCCTCCACTTGGAAGGGGAAGGACAGGGCTGTGTGTTTTCAGTTCAGGTTCAGTTTGTGACTTACTTCTGAGTTTTTTTATTATCCCTTTTAGCAAATGTCAGCAGTGCGCAGTTTTAAACAAAAAGAAAGAAACGAAAGAATTTGGAAAGCAGACTTTGGCTTCATTTACAACACTTCTTAGGGCTGTTTCATGTAATAGGGCCACTACACACCTACAAGGTCCTCCCCATCCCTGGAGTGTTCAAGGCCAGATTCCACAGGGTCTAGTGCAAAGTGTCCCTGCCCATGGTGGTGGTTGGAACTAGATCTAGACCTAGACGACTAGGGTCCTTCAGTCCCTTCCTAACGACTCTATAATTCAATAAGACAAAAAAAATCCAATTTGGGGCTTAAATACAACTCCAGATATAGCCACTCCATCTCAGTGACTCCCAGAGAGAATGATCTCTTCCAAGACATGCTGGAATAACAACAGGGTGCCAGGATGCTCTGATCATGAAATTCAAAACAGGGAGAAGATTTTTTAAAAATTACTTAACAGCAAGAAGCTTGTGAAATACCATAAAATCCTGCTGCTGCCTGGACTAACCCCAATTCCTGTAATAGATTTATCTCATGGATGCCATTTCAAAAAGTCAAGACCACCAGGACAGAAATATGGACCTAAAGAAAAATGTGATAGGGAAAGAAAACTAGTGGCTGAAGGGGAATTTGGGAGAGCCATTGTACAGACAAATCCTGAGGGCTCTCCTGAAGGGTGCACAGCTGTATCCCACTCCCAGCCCCATGGATTTTGGGATTGCCTTGCCTGTTGACCAGCTGATGCTGTGTTTCTGCTGCAGTTAACACTTGGTCCCAAAGCTGTGATGTTCCTGTGAAAATTCAGTGATTTATCTTGGTGTTTATCATCCAAGGGCTCCTGAGGAGCAGCAGGCTGTGACAGGGAGAGATGGACAGGAAGGGCTCTGGGCAGGCCCTGCAAACCAGCCAGTGAACACACTGTGAATTTTGCTATTGTGGTCATTTAGGGCATGAATTATGTCCAGCCTTCAATGCAGATGATGATGTCTGATGCAACAGGGACTTTGGACTTAGCACATAAAAACCTTTTCATAAATTGCTCAGTCCCCCTTCTTGCAAAGTCGTTACAACTCCAAGGTGTGAGAGAACAGCATAAAATTCACACTGATCCCTTCAATTCTTTTTTAAGCATCCTTAAATCCAGCCTTTTTTTAATGCTATACATCTTACTTTTTATAGTTAAAAGTAATTTTAAAGCAAAAAAGAACATAAACAATATACACTGACTCTTGACACTCCATTGCTTTTTTAAACTAGAATAATAAAAATTTGCAAATGAACAAAAGAGTGGGAGGAAGATATCTGATTTACAATGTTTTTGAGATAAAGAACACTATAAAAAAAGATCAATGTGAATAATAAAGCATTGTTAACTGAGTCATGACATTTCTATTCTCAGTGAAGATTTGAACAGTAGAGCTCTGCAAATGAGCACCTTGTGCCATTTTCAAAGTGGGAGGAAGACATATAATTATAATTTTTAAAGTGAAGAGAATTTAAAAAAAAATCTGTGAAAAAGTTTATTGAAAAACATATCGACATATCAATATGACATAAATTACTTTAATTTTATTAAACTGGGAGGGGGGAAAACCTCTTTTTGAAGACTGGCTGCAGAAAGCATTCCTTGAAAAGAATTTTCTTTATTAAAAACTCTTTGCTAAGATGAAACAGCACTGAATGTCAGCACTACCGTATATTTATTCTGTAACTCTTCCAACAGCCGAGATCTATAAAAGAAACATATTTTCAAAACAGTTTTAACCTCCATTGTCTTGATCATTCGTATTAACATTTTTCATGTCACCTATTGAAATCCCTTAAAGGAACCTTTTATTCAGTCAAAATTAATGAAACCATTTTCTTAAACAGCCTCCAAAAAGCAAAAAGGACATAATGTTGTGCATTTTATTTGACATACGTTTTCTGCCATTTCACTTATTTGTGTGATGAGAGCAATACTTCATATTTATGCTATCAAATCTGCAGAGAAAAGTGATTTTGAGAGAGAAGAAAACCAACTCTGCTCTTGCTGTGTGTGCACTTTAAATCCACAGTGAAAATACAACATTGATCAGATTACTCCAATTGAGTCATTTAGTGCTTTGGCATTCCTGAAGTTAGGGCCCAGCTGTGAAATCAGAGTTGGGGCCAAACATTGCTGTTAGGTGAGTGCACATGGCTCCCATTTTCTTCAAAGGGAATGACACACATGGCCAATATTTAGCTTTCACCTCTTCCATTCTTTAGCTAGCAAAGCCAGAACCAGTGGAGTATATGCAGGCAATTTAACAGAATTAAGAATTCAATCAAGATTTTCCAGGACTTACTAGTGATTTGGGATATATAATTCAATACACATCAAAACGCAGATGCTCAGCATATTCTGAAAATCAGGCCATCTCGAATGTCTTGCTTTAAGCAGGTAAAATCATAAATTACTCTGAGTATTTTGGCAATTGGGTCCTAACAAACTGGGTGTAGTACACCTCTTCAAAATTATAAACTCCAATTTCTGGCTTGGCTGGGATGCCTGGGAGAATTATGACATCCCAACCCATTTTTGTTCCTGCTCTTACTAGTATGGGACTTGAACACCGTGCAGGTGCCCTTCTGCAGCAGGTGACCCCTAGGGAAAGTCCAGGTCCTGGCTCTGCAGATCCCCTGGGATGCACTGAGCTGCTGGGATGGCCCACAAGACCTCAGAGCTTAAGTGCCATGGAGAGAAAAAAGGATGCATCCCAAAAATCTAGCTGCCCCATGCTGCATGCAGATCTTCATTTCAACTCAAGGTCAAGTGGAAAACTTTTCTACCATCCTTGCTGACTCTCCTCTTCACTTTCTCCTGACTCCATCTGTTCCTCACCCATCTCCTTCGTTCCGCACTCGCCTCCCTCTTCTTCCTGTGTCCATCTGTTCCCTCCTTCCTCGACACAAGTTGGGGAAGGGAAGTAAATTCAGTCATTCACTGAACAGATTTCAAGATGAACCCCCTCCCTCTCCAGTTCTAACTTCATTCATCACGGTAAAAATTATAATGAATAGAAATATTGAAGGTGAAAATTTATTAGGGATTGTGTTGCTTTCTTATATGAAAAGCAGTTAAAGCGGCATATAAACATTGGCTTCATTCATTTTTTCTTAATATATGGTATAATTAGTGAGAAATATTAGTGGAAGTGCTTGCTATGCAGTCCATCAACACATGCCTGTCAGAGCTTAGGATCTGGGCCAAAAGTTTTTGCCAGTCCTGTGATAGATTTACAATAAGCCTATAGAAGGCTTTACAGTTAGCTAGGTCACTAATTCATGAAGTTAAAACGTATGCAATGAGGTCAAAAATTCACTATTGATAAAATACCCCCTCCCGGGATTGCACCATTAGCTTTGTTACTGCAACAGCAAAATAAAGTAAACCCAAAGCTCCTGTGAATTACCAGTCCATCATCGTAAATCAGCAGTGAAACACTTGCATGAGTTCATGATGTCATCTGAAGCCCAGGATATATTTATAGCCTTGTGTACTATTTCCTGTTTCGTTATGACAAAAATAAACAGTCTCCAAATCCCCTGCATCCTTCTGCCTGAGCTCAGCAAAATGTAATGGGCAGGAATCTCTGAAAGCCCCCGTGATATATTGGTCTGGAGCAGCTCCCTCTGATGGGCCATGGCGCCCGCGCTCCCTCCAGCCTCTCCCATGTGGGCAACAGCAGCTCCCAGGGCCTTTGCTCCATCTGCTGCACTCACTGCTGGGATAGTCCCACACCCCCTCCTGCTTTGCCTCCCTGACACTTGGAGAGAGAAGGAAAGAAGATTTAAGCCTCCAAGCCTTAGGCATGGAGTGAACAGCCTGGCAGGCGCACCCAAGGTGGAGGAGCTCAGCACTGCTCCGTGTGGGGACCTGGGTTTGCCACCACTGGGACCTTGGGCATCTCATCCACCAAGACTGCTAAGCCATGAAGGTTGGAATTTGGGCTTAAATTTCCTTGCTCCTCCTTTGCTGATGATTTGGGAGCCTCATCTAAAGTTTCTGCGGTGCTTGGGCATGGATGATGCCCCACATTTCATCTCAGACCTCCCAGCTCTAAAATTTTCTGTACCTACCTGAATTTCTGTGTTTGCCAGTGATCCTCTTCACCTCTTCTTGGGTGAAACTTCCTCTTGTTTTATCTTTTGCTTCCTTTGCTGAAATGAGACAGAGAGTAACACAAACAGTGCACCATGCCACGTAACCTCGCTCTGCAAGGAAGTGCACTTGCTTCTGTTTGACCTCAGAGCAACAACTCCTGAAGTCAATGACTGCCACTAAGTGGCTAAGGGTGATAGTTGTGCCAAACCACTTTTATTTGACATTTATCCCTCCTCAATTTTGTTTTCTTCTCTCCACCAAGACCGTCGCACCAGCTCCCTGCCTCTGCTGGCCCTCCCTGGGGTGACACCGAGCAGTGAGGACCATCATCCAGGTAAGCTCCTGGCCCCATGCATGCAGACATACTCCATCCCTGGCAGACTATATTATCCCTTAAACAATCAAGAAAAAGTGTTGTTGTTTTTTTTTTTTCTTGGGTTTTGCTTTTTTGAAGCACTGCTGTCAAACCCTGAGGTTTGGGTTTCATCGTTCTATGCGTCCTTTCAAACCAAGTGAGTTCAGATCAAGCCTTCATAAGTACAAGTTTTCATCCATCAGCTCTGATGTAGCTCTGCCTGTATCATCTTGGGACTGAATGGACATGGCACACAGCTCTTCCAGTGATGAGCATGTGATACATTAAACAGACAGGTAGTGACAGCAGGGCACAGGATAATGAATGGCAGGGAGAGCAGCCGGGCATTCCCTTGGTGCTTTCGCAGATACACCAACGTGCCTCAGGGGAAAATTAAAAAGTTACAGGTCCTAAACTACTACAGTTTTCCACACAGTTTAGCATTAACCCTTGGGACTCCTTGCTACAGAGGCTTGAGGCAAAGGGCGACTGCCAGGATGGATTTGGAACAAATGCCAGCCTTGAGTAGAGCCACAGGCTCCCTCATCCTTGGCTTGTAAGATGTGGATGAGCCCTAGGGAGGGTCAGAGATCAATTCTCCTCCAGTGGAGTCTCCTCCTAAACAGTTGTTCCAAGAGCTGCTTTGGATTACCTGCATTGCTGCAGTCCCTGTTCAGCAGAAGAGAGCACCTCTTAAACCCTCTGTCCTTTATCAAAAATAGACTTAGAGCCCTCGTATGCCTCTATACTAAATCAAATTTCAGAAGCATGCAGGGAAACTGAAGACTCCTCTTCTCCAGGACTGCAAGATGCTGGTTTGTGCCTAAATCCAGAAGAGAAATAGAGGTCAGGGGACATACTGCAAATGCCAGTCTTGGTATCAGTGCTCCTCCCCATTAACCAGAGGGATCTGGGGCTGGCATCAGTGGAAAGTAAGTGATTTGCTTTGTGCTTTCATGAATTTAGACGCTGTAGTCAGCCATCTGAATCGCCCAACTCCAAAAAGAAAAAGAAAAAAGAAATTCCATGTGACTATCTTTATTACAAACATGGGTGAACGATCCCAGTCTTCTACTGCAACAGCCAAGGCGAGTCCCAGCTTCCCCATGTGAGGAAGAAAGTTGCTACTTCATACTATTTAAAAATGGCACATTGTGGGGGTGTACCTTTAGCAGCCTCTGCCTAACAGTCTAACACTGAATAATCTGAGATTTCTTCATCATGATACACTTATTTTTCCCTTTAAGTTCACTTCAGTTGTTGATTTCTATATGTTAAAAACACAGACATATGTGGACATCTGAAGCTGAACGCAGGCTCTTAAAAGAGAGTAGCAAAGTTTGACCCTCTTCCCATCTCTAATTGTAATTTAGGGTTTTTTACGTTCTCATTTAACAGTAATCATAAATAATATCAGTAGTAAGTAATATATTTTTGAGCCCATTTTGCTACATCTATTTGTTCCAAATTCTCAACCTACTACTGTTCCATCCAGCAACGAACTATAATAGGGGGAAAAAAAAGTGATAACCACCTTTTTTTTTTTTCTGCTGGCCTAGCACAATCTTTATTTCTTCAGACACTTTGTGCAAACATTAAATTGATAAAAGACATAATGTAGATGGACCCACAGCTGAACTGAAGGTAATTGCATAAAAATGAAATGGAGACCTATAATTGTACACTGCTTTAGCCTCTCCCGCAGTGTTTTCTGGAAGCAAGGATCTCGCTTGTCATAGCAAGTTGCTTGTTACAGTGATTGCATGAAGACTTGATCTAGCTGTACAAGACAAGTATAACATTACTGAAAGGGAGCTCTTCAAACTAAGAGTCTGACACTAAAATGTACTGTATTTTCCAAGATGTAGTATGCTTTAACAAACAGAAGAGTCCCTGAGTGACAGCTTTTGTTACCCTTTTGTTTGATGGTACTGTATTGAAAAATTCAGGTTATGTCTATGCTTTTCTATTTCTGGTTTTGATTTCTCTTCAACAGCACTTCAAGAATAAAAATTGACTCAAAGTATGAATAGTAGAAGTCGGTGGATACAGTAAATGTTAGTCTGGCATTTACTGATTACTTCTGTCAGACTTTTTTACAGTCTCGCTTCTTGAATGCTTAAATGCATTCAGTGGGCCATTGTATTGTTGCAGAATTGGGGAATTCGACAGATATATCATGAATTAAAACATATCTAGTTTAGATTTTGGGGCAGATTTTGAAAGTGGAAAATAATAGTTTTTCTTACCTAAGCCTTTTGATCTGATCTTTGTGTATCCAAAGGCTCAGCCTGGGTGTTGCTCTCAGTGTGAACAAACAGGACCCATTTGTAATATTGGCACCTGAATAACAGGTAGAGCTTGTGTCTTTTGTCACAAAACAATTGTTATCCAATAAATCCAATGCATAAGAAGGACAATGCTCCCTCCTGAGCTCTGCTGCTTTAATCAGCACAACTTTTCCTGGAGATGGTTTGTTATCGAGTGAAAGTGCAGCAAACTTGTGGAATGTCATTGATTTATAAACACTGGAAAACAGACATGACTGTACATGTAAGGACATCCACAATACATGAGTTTTCACATTCTGGACTGATGAGGCTGGCCAAGAAGTCAGAGAGGGGAAAAAACCCCCCAAACAAACCTGTATTTGCTTACTCTGAGGGGGAAACCATCAACAACTCATCACAGATAGGCAAACCCAGACATGCATAGCCCCGAATGCAGATTTCCTGTGACCAAAGGTACAACCTAAGGGGAGAACTGCTGTGCTTTGCACTGCTGGGTTACACCCAGTGGAGCCACTGCCTCTCCTGCCCTTCCCATCTTGCCTGTGGATTTCCTTCATCATCATAAAGCTCACAAAACCTAACAGTTATAGGTTTCTGAGACTCTTGTCTGTGCCACTGCTCTCCTACTGCCTCCACTCCATTGTTCACTCTCTGCCCAAGGCCAACTGTAAACTCCCCAAGATAGGGAAATTCACATTTCCATCACAGTAGACTTTGTTGTCATTACGACTTAAAAATCAAGACAATACCTCTGCCAGCTCACAATTTTAAAGCAGTGATTTAAAATGAAAATTATAGCCTAGGTTTTATGCTTATCTTATCCCAAGATCTTACTCTACTAACCTCTACCTAGCTTTTCTGCTTTTACATATTTCACTAGGTAAAAATGATCTAAAATGGCATGAAACCTGACTATGAGCAGAAATTTAAATTAATTGCTCACTCATTCTGTAAGTAAATGGATAGAAATGATAGAAAAATTAGCTTGGAAGGGACTCTAGAATCACCTTGCTTGGCCTCTATCAGAACCTGTAGTAAGAGCAGGTTGCTGGGGTCCATGCCCAGCTGAGCTCTTCACATAACCACAGCCTTGCTGCAGTCTGTTCTGGTGCTTTACACATCCCATGATGAGGAATTCATTGCCTGGGCAGTTCCAGTTGCCAGCTGCAGCTTCTGACAATTCCCTCTCTTCATTTTCTGTCTGTGCACTGCTGGGAGGAGTTGGGGTCTGGCTTCTCCCTTACCCTGGCTCTGGAGGGGAACAAAGCATCTCCAACACTGTTCTTTGCCTTCTCCTCCAGGCCAGCCAAAGCCAGCCCCCAGCCTCTGCTCACACAGAAAGTCTTCCAGACCCCTCACCACTTCAGTGGCCTTCACTGGACTTGAACTAGATATCACTTATCTCCCAAATCCTTGCTTCCCCCCTCTTCAAGCCTCATGGTTCCACTGGTTTTCACTTACCCTGCAATCCATCCATCCCATCCACATTTCCTCCTCTTGGCTGCGAGGATACTGTGGGAATAGCTGCAGTCTCATCAAGGTTTCACTCTCTATCAGCCTTTTCCTGGCTTTTCTTTAACATGTGTAAGAAGTCAAAGGTACCTAAAAACCAAGAGATATGCAGGGCCTCTCTTCAGGCTCCTTGCAGCCAAGTGCAGACAAACCACTTTAGATCACTTACTGTTCCTCTCAGAAAGTAGCATTTGCAAAACTGAGGTGTTTGTAAAGATTGATTTTCTGTATATAGCTCAAGAGCAAGCATATCACAAGATTTCAGTGAGATAAAAAGTGAGGCTGTGCTTGATGTGAGGTGCAGGAGTTAATCAGCTATAGATAAGAACTGATGAGGTTTTATCATCCCTGCCATGGAGAGAATGACTGTGTTTCTTGGCCACTTGATCACTTCAGAGAGTGAGTGAAACTATATATCAACCCGTGTTTATCTGTGCCTGAGAAGTTCTTCAAGAATAAATTGAACTCAGGACTCGTCTTAACCTTTCCCCTAGTTGGGGCTTAAAATTAAGCTCTCCCTCTGGTTTTTGAGCTGCCTCTCTGGCATGCTGACAGCATGTGAAGTATCCCATCTCCTAGTTGACTTCCAGGCCAACAACACAAGTGGGGATGAAGTTATGAAATAAGGAATCTGGATGCTAAACAGAGACCATCTGGCTGTCTTTGCTACAAGATTATGAGCCACAGTGAGCTGGCACATCTGCATCCAGGTACCGCCTACATGCACATTGTTGGCTGTTAATTTAGGGAAACAAAGTTGCAGTTAAAAAATAACAAGATGGTTGTTTTGCCTTCTTTTATGTTGCAAATTGAAGTTAGGATATCAAACTCGAAATATATGTCAACCGAGGCAATAGTTCTGCTTTCTTTCCAAACCTGATCCCACCCACTGGAAGTGAATTATTACTTAGCCTCTAAGTCCTCTGGGTTTAAGAGAAAACCTTAGAAGGCAAGTTCACAAATACCTTTACTATGAATAAACCTCTGTAAAGAGACTGAAATCATTAGGTAAGAAGGGTTAGGCCTTGGAAGTAAACAACTGTACGTTTGAAAATTCTGCATATGTTATTCTTTCAGATCTCTGCCTTGGTATCACAGTCTCTTTTTTTTTCCTAATCCCACCAGATAACCAGCTTACAAATGAAAAACACACAGATGAAAAGCCTATGAAAGGTATTGTTATGAGTTCTGTCGCAGAATTCAGCATCACAGACACTTCATCAAAGGGCACCAAAAATGAGAAGAAATTGTCAGATGCAAGCAGATCATCCATTGCTTCCCTGGAGAAATGCAGAGAATTCGCTTACATTGAAGATGATGCATCAGTACATCAGAGAGACAGTGACGGTATGTTTTATAAAACAGATCACATTTGAGCTGATTTCTAAATAATGCCCACTGCAAAAGAACTATGTATAACCAACTCGAAATTAAATGTTGAACAGGAGGTTCAAGAACATTGCCAAAAGCAATGTTAAGTTGCCCTGCAGACATTTGTGTGATAGATGAGAATTTCTAGAAGATGATCTTAAATTGTCAGTGATACTAAAGTCATAGAAGAGGAGCTTAGAGCCTATTGTGCCACAGAGCATTTGTACTTCAGTAATGAGTGTTTGCACAGAGGCACCAGTGTCAGTATCAGATAAATCTATTCCTGCTTATTCCAGTGGATGTTAAAAAAAGGCTCTGTGAAGTATTTTAGAAGTTTCTTTTGAGTGCCTTTTTCAATAATGGATTAGTGTGTTATATCCAATGGAGCTGGGATCTGTCGTGCATATCATTTAACAATTCCTAAATTAAGCATTTCTAAATACAGATCAACTCAATAAAGTGCCCTGTTCTCCAGGAATCATTAACATTTCCATTGTGTCACAGATCCTTACAAAAGGGATGTCTCTGATAACATCTATTGGAATACACTTAATTTCAAGGAAGGATCTGAAGTATTTATTTTATTCAAGGGAGTTGTCCCCATGTCCAGACACTCCCTATTTTTGAGTCTGTGGACTATCTCAACAACTACTGGCACACAGGTGTGTACCATGTGATGCAAATAACAGATTTCATTCTCCTTAAAAAAGCTAAACGTGAAGGAAATTAACAACAACAACAAAAAAAACCCCAATCTGTGCTTAATTAATAATGTTAAGGGCTGGATAGAAGCCAAGAAAACCAAAGGAAGACAGATTTGTGGTTGTCACTGCATACTCAGCTCACTCCACTCTGACAACTTACTGCTTATTCCACATACATGAGGCCAAATCCTGTTTGCTGGTGCTTGGAGAACCTCTGAAAGCAGAGCAATAGATGAGGAAATTGGTGATTATTTTATGCCCTGTGTTCGGACAAGAGAAAATACAACAGTCATAGGTCTCACCAAGGATGACCAGAAAGGTTTCAGCAAGCTTTGGACCAGGGTTGTTCAGGGCATCATCTGTGTGAGCAGATGCCACCAAAAAAGAGCAGGGAAACTTAGAGATGAGGCATGCTAGAAAAAATATTATAAATTCTTCTTTTGTGCTAATTAATCTACTAATGTAGAGAATGAGAGCTGAGGTCATTGTTCTCATGGAGATAAATGCAGTAATGCCGTTTGGCAAACAGCAGGGAAAACAGAGAGGAAAACAAGAGATTGCATCTTCTTTTATGCAGTTTGTGGCTAATTTATTTTCAAATATATAAATGAATGCATAGGAATGGATGTCTAATTGCTAATATCTATTATTTATATACATTACCCCACTTAAAACAGGACCAAAAAGCCTCACACATGCAGATTTTTTGAAATGTGTTACATCCATTATCACAGTTCATGGTGTGTGCTCTGATGGGAATTTAAAAGCATCTTTACTGCACATCACAGAGTCTGTGCTGAAACATTACTTTATTATTAAAATCTTGTGCTTTTTGTGTGCTCTCTTTCCTGGATGAAGCCCTAAGAATCATATCTATTCTCTCCAGATTACATAAGCACCATTATGGTTAACACATTCGGGGAAAAAAAAAATCCTGTTATTAAAAAATGGATCTTTGGAGAAGAAGAAAAAAAATTGCCAAATCCTTAATTAAGACATAATTTTGAATTCTGTCTCTCACATCTATGTATAGGAAAGAAATTTCATAAACATAAGGGATCTAAAAAGAATAGTCTTAATTACACCAAGGACTACTGGATAAAATGATTACATTTTCTACAGTGTAAATTTCATACAATTAAATGCAGTGGTGTCACCTTATTAAATGTTTCAATTTTATAATTATTTCAGTTCATTTAGCTAGAAAAAAATATAAGCATGAATTGACTAAGTATCACCAAAATCTAGTCATTCTTATTTGACAGAACTGACTTAGAAGTTAGTTGTGCTTGTCTGAACCTAAATAGATCTTGACATATTTAAATAAGTATTAAAATTGATAACATTGGTGATGATATGCCACTTAGAAGTTCAGTCATATGCTATTTGTTCTTGCTACCTGCTTTAACTGCCTTTTTAATAAAGAAGCTGGAATGTGTTTTTTGTAAATTCTGTTTTTCATCAAGAAAGCTTTCTAAAAAAAAAAAAAAAGGATAATTCTGGAAACTTCCTGGCAGTGAACTTAATGTTATATGAGCTAGAAAATGCCACAACAGAACCAATGCAGTTGAATGAGTTCACAGTTAGTCATCCTAGGGCAAGAAATGTGGTTATAACCATATGCTTTCCTGAAAGAACCAATGAAAAGGCATTGATATTGTTGAAGGCATTTTTTTCCTTTCCAAAAACAAGAAGGGGGGGAAAAAAAAAAAAAAGGAAAGGTCTGGGTCTGTGCTCCAACTGGATTCACACAGTTGGAATCTCACACCTGCTGTGCCCAAGCAGCCTCCCCAGATGCTGGAGGCTGTGCAGAGTTAATTAGTTGATTTTGGGAGGGCACAAACACAGCACAGAATTTTAGCCATGGTGACCAGGTTTTCAGGAATATTCTCTGGCTCCAAACACACATATTACGTAATCTATTTTCCAAACTTTTGTCTCCTTTGAAGAACTGACATTTGTGAATGAAAAGGTGAGAACCCTGTTGGGTGGGGAGTTGGCAGGAGCCTGAGCTGAGACTTGGCCAGCACACTCCCCTCTCTGAATGCTCTTCTCCAGGCCTGCTGTCCCTCCCTGTCCTTGGTGGTCTTCAAACATTTTTAGTGCAGACTCTTGTGAAAGTGAAAATAAACTCCAGTGTTACCTGTGCTGGTGTGGTGGCTTAATCCCAGGCAGCAACTCAGCCCCACATAACCCCTCAGTCACTGCCCCACTGCAGAATGGGAGTACTAGCAGGGTAAAAGGAAGAAAACTCATGGGATGAAATAAATACAGTTTAATAGGACAGAAAAGGAAGAAAATAATAATAATAATAATAATAATAATAATAATAATAATAATAATAATAATAATAATAATAAATAACAATAAATATTAGAATATTCAAAACAAGGGATGCATGTCGCAATTGGTCACCACTCACCAACTGATGCCCAGTCAGTTATCTGAGCAGAAACCCCTGCTCATTTTCTCCATAATTTATATTGATGCCATATGGTCTGGAATATCCTTCTAGCCAGCTAGGGTCAGCTGTCCTGGCTGTGTCTCCTCCCAGCTTCTTGTGCCTCTCCAGCCTCCTTGCTGTCTGGGCATGAGAAGATAAAATTTGGTTTAAAGGGCTTGTTCTTCTGGATTTCATTGCCACAGAATATTTCCATTCAAATTCTTTCCATACAGCTGTTGTTTTTTCAAAGCAAATAAATGAGAAATTAAACTTTTCACCCGTCTCTGTGGAAGTAGTTATCATCAATGTATTTTTAGCCCACCCCTCTCACTTCTGTGTAGCCACACTGGCCTAAACCTGGGCCATCCCAGCTTACACTTGTTCTTACATCTCCCTGCTTTTCCTTTCTCTTAGATGAATGTGCAACACTTATCCTGGCCTGCTTGTTCTGCCAGTTTTGGGACTTTCTTATAATGCTGCCTGATACCTGTGAACATTGGCTGACAGATACCTGTTGTCCATCCAATAGATATTACCAGACCTCCGACGAAGACCACGGCAACAACGACTGCAACTGTGACTGTGACATTGATTGCAGCCTCTTTGAGTCCTGCCACGAGACTGGGGAGTGCCTCGAGCTCGCCATGGAGATTTCAGAAGTCTGCTATCGTTAATAGGAAAATTATTCCTCAAAACTACCTGACAGATTACAAAGGAGATTTTTTTTTTTTAATAATATTAATCATAACCAGAGTTTTTGCCAATGAGGACTATGTGCATCTTGTTGCTCCCTCCCTGGAGGTCTCTATACCTGTACCATTCTGGTGGCATGATATCACAAACTGCTGAAACCAATAAAGGACAAAAAAGGGTCTTCTCTGCCATAGATGACAACAGAATTCCTAAGTGCCAAGTGTGCTCGCTGCTTTACCCACTGTCAATCCAAGCTTTTATAAACCTTTAATTGCTTTAAACACTGATTCCCCCATTCATAAACACAGAACAAATTAGGACATTATTTTAGGACTGATATATATATTAGTTCATCTTCCTAATGGATTCATACCTAAACATGTATTGTTGGTTATTATAAATAATTTATGATATAGCATCATTTTATAATTAAAAATTTATTTATTCAATCTCTTAAAACACTCTTATATGCCCACTATAGGCTGAAAAAAAATTCAATGAATTAGGAACCATGCTACTGGTAATTACAGCAAATGTCACTAAAAATCTCCAGTGAATTTTGTGGAGGAAGCATTTTCACAGGGTAGTGCAATTCGACAGTGTATTAATGTGCTGGTCCATGGTTATGTAATAACAGGTTATGCCGATTGTTCATTAGTTATAGGAAAGGGTTCCTTAAGTGTAATTAGCCTAAATGGGAATTGACTTCCCACTTCCAGAGGAGAATTACCTCGTGGATAGCCAGCAACTCCTTTGCTTGATTTTTCTTGGTAAGACTTCTGCAAGAAACAGAATATTTCCACCTATTCTAGTGCAAACAGGCATCTCCACCTGTGCACAAAAGATTACAAAATGACAGTATCTATCCTGGTTGTGCTTTCAAACTCCCTCTATATTTTCTGATGGCAAGGCTGATTAATAAAAAGAAATACATGTTGCACATTACACATATGACAACAAAAGCATGTAAATTCAGCTGCCTGAGGGTGCAGAACACAGGTATTAAGCACAGAGGAAAATACAGAGTTGTTTGCTCACATTAGGTATTTATAGACTAACACCTAAGTCAGTGTTTGCCTTGAATAAGCTCTAAAATTTCTCTCCAAACCCCACTGATCTCAGTGCAGAAGTGCCTGTGGAATTCCAAACAAAGATTCTGGGCAAGATACTGGGATATTAAGCATTTCTAAAATCATTGAAGCCACTTGTTTATTAATCAGAGTAGTCCTGGTGCACAAATATTTAATGGAAAAAAAAATCATGTGTATTTCCTTTCCTTATCCCCCTTCTGGAAAACTCATGTGTACAAAAAATCAGAAAGCAAGAAGTAGAACCACTAACAACTTTTTTCCAGGTGTCTTACAAAGCCTAGTGACTGGAAGACAACAAACCTCAGCAATGCAGGGAGCAGCCCAGAACACCTCATTTGTCTGCTCCTTCCAGGACATTGGTGGAGAATAGAAGAGATTTGCTTATTTTACATTGTCACATTATGGGTTGTAGTCACCTAAAGGAATTAAATCATTAGTCCTTCATCTCCACTGCAGTCCCAGCGTGCTGGGACTGTTTTGGGTCTGGACCCAAACCCCACAGCACAACCCACTGCCATCCAGGGGCACTGGTTTGGGTCACTCACCTCAGGATGGGCAATGCTGACTTTTAATGCTTCAATTTGCATTCTCCCACAGAATTTTGGTCTTAAATCTTCCAAAGCTAAGCTAAGCTAAACTCTCAGTGCTACTTACCAGGCCACAGAGGCTTGCATCTTTCTATCCATTCTATCCAACCACAGGTTGTCCTTGACAACGTGGCATGTGGGTATTTATGAATAAAAACTCCAACCTGAGGCATTTAGGAGTTAGAAAAGAGGGAAGCCTGTTCCACATACCATTTCCTAGAGAAGCACCAATAAAGATGTACATTGGCAGTCCTTGCTCTTGGTTCCGGTCTCCAAAAAGGGAAATTTCATGTGCAATGGCTGGACAGGGCTCAAGAGAGGAAACCAGAGGGTGGCATACCCCAAAAAGTTGTCAGTGAGGGAATCAGAGATGGGGAACTTGCCTTCCAAGCCAAGATGTCTTTTTCCTGTTCTGAGTCTGCAAAAAAACCCACATTGACCACATCAGCATAATGCATGGCAAGTGAAGTCTCATTCAGCTGTGGAACTGGACTGGGGGCTTTTGGCACAAATGTGGAATTTTTCCAACTCTTTTCCTAGGAATCATTATTCAAAAGATTTTTTTTTTTTTTTTTGTATTGTAATCCACAGGTTGATATACTGAGGTAATGTCAACTACAGGGCACAGGTAAGGTCAAAGACAGAATTACTATAGCCATGATTAGACAGGATGTCCCAGCAATATGAATGGAATCACACTGGGATATATTCAGAGCTGCTGTTGTAGTGAATGGTGGTGTTTTAAATAATCCAGCAATATCTCCTTTCCTAAAGTGTACAAGGGCACATTTCTCAGTTTTCTGTCTTAGGAAGCAGATTTTTTGAGACTTTTTTGAGCAATGAAAGTTGAAAAACATGTTATTTCATACAACAGCAGTTTATTATAACTTTGTTTTCTGTCATAAAATTGTTAATTGCAACATTGTATTTTCATGACACACAGGAACACTTAAACATATTGACACCAGAGAAAGACAGTCAGACTTTTCCATTAACTATTCCAGAAACTCTTTGAAAAGCCATCCTATTCCCACACTAAACTGTCTTCCTAGTGCAGAAAAATAGCCATTTATCAGATCTGAACGTGGCTAGACATTCCAGTGAAACCGAAGCATTTGGAACAATTCGAGACTGTCTCTGTATTTTTTTATTTTTTTTTTTATTTACTGGGAAGGAAGGTCTGGGTGCTGGAGTGGGAGGCGTTTGGGTGGATGGCTGTTGGGAACACGTTGGACTCAGCTGTGCTCCCGGGGAGATGTCAGGGAGTGAAACCAGCTCCTGGGAACAACAAATAGAAGTTTCCCATTTTGCAAACGGGAACAGCGCTCCGACACGCCGCCTCTCCCCAGCACCAGAAATGCACTGACAGATTGCCTGGGGGAAGAGAGAGACAGAGAGAAGAACGCAGAGCTGCATTGCTACCTTCCACAGGAAAGGACCATGGGATGCTCTCTAAGGATCTCCTCTTGGAAATGACCCAGCGGTCTCATCCTTGAGACAAAAATGTCTTTTCACCTCCTTTCACTCTGTTCCCAGAACACAATACTGATTAGGATGTAAACTTTAGGGGAATTGATGTTTGCTAAATACTGGGAAAGCCTCTGGGGGCTTACAAAAGTTTAAAGATCAGTTATCTCAAAGGATACTGGCTGACCATGAGCCCTTCCATAATGTCATTCTGGTGCCTTACTCTCCATGTACAATGAGTCCCTTAGATCTGGGGCTGGCAAAAATTATCCCATGTCCATCCCCAGATATAGGGATGGAATATATTATATTACCTCATTCGACTTTGCTTCCTAAAGCACTTTGATCATTTGTATTCTCTCGAGCAGTCATCAACTAAAACAACCAACATCTTCCAAATGTCCAGACAATGCACAACTCTGCCTTAACTCCAGTGCTGCTTAGGGATTCAGGCTGAATGCTACAGCTGAGCTCTAGAAGACTTTGGTTCTCAGGAAGAAAGCAAAATACGGGAACAATTAAGATGTTTGCAATTGTATTTCTCCTATTATGCTTGTACAGTATCAAAAAAAGTTCAATAGTGTCAGACTAAGAATGTATGTATCTATTAAATTTTTCTTTTAATTATATTAGATGGGTGGTTCCTTTGCTTTCATCTTCATCTGTTTGGGTTCTCTTAAATGCAAGGTAAGTTTCCTATTATGCAAGAAAATGAGTTTACCAAGCAGACTGGGATTTCCAGGCACTGCTCCACTATAATTCACTCTAACTGAGCATTAATCATGATTAATAATCTATCATTCCTGTGGTTCAGGAAAATAAAAAGGAGGACTTTATTGAGAAACTGCCCTTTCTCTTAGCATACTTCATATAATTGCACAATGGAACAATTCTAGGGAATTCATTATTCTGCTGGTAATGATCTAGATTTCCTTAACATTGCACACGAATGGGAATCATTGCCATCTGATGGATGTTCCATGGCCTGTACAAAATGAGTTGGTGGGTGCAAGCCAATTCATAATGGATGTGTGCCCATATCACAAAAAACACCATTATAATTGGTACCCTTAGGAAAAATGCCAAGGCCTGAGTGTAAACAGAGCACTTTCTGTCCCAAGAGCTCGCGCTTCCGTGGTCAGAGTTGAAGCACAACAGAATGAGCAATGCTGAACTGCATCTGCTGCCTCTGTAAAGGGCTTGGCTCTCCTGAGGTAGCACTTGGCATCTTGGACCCTCTGCAAAATAAGAAAACTCACTCTGAAGGGCCACACTTGTGCCTCTTCCCCCACCATCACTGAAGTCATTGTGGGGGTTGTGAAAGTCTAAAATGTAGTGGAGACAGTCATTGCTACAGTCCATGATTTGTTCTAAGCGTATCCAGAAAAAAAATATATTGTCTCTAAATGAGAAGAGTCTGTTCATCAATACTCATTTGAAATCTGAGAAATACTCCTATCAGAAAATGCTGAGAGGCACTGACTCACCATCTCCTAGTGCTTTCCATTGGGAGACACCACTTCCCTTGTATTGAACAGGGACCAGGGACTTCCAGTAGAGAAGTTCATAGGTCATTGGAGTACACTGCTTAAAAAAAAAAAAAAAGAGAAGAATGAAGATATCTCATGGATATTCTATTGATGGCTTGCATGTACAGATCAGTTTAAGCAGCAAAGTAATATTGGAAACGTCTTCTTCCTTATTAGAGAATCCTGCAAATCAATCAAATTCACATGCCCACACCATAGTATATTGAAATGACCATGGTTCAAAGAAGTGGGGAAAAAATCCCACCCTATCCAAATGCACGAAAAATTCACCATCAATGTCATTATAATGCAGA